ATGTCACGCACATATTTACATGTGTACTCATATTGTAAGTATGTACATATGATGATGTTTGAGACGATTGTTGTTTTTTCAGAAGAATGTTTGTGTTTTTTGATTTACATACATGCGTACGCATATATTATTTGTACATATGTATGTGTGTACGTAAATATAGAGAAGCGCGCTTTTTATATTTCTGATAAATGATATCTTGATTTGAAATTGATTTGTACTTGCATACATGTCTGCCGGATAGATGCGTATGAAAGTTTTAAATGATTAGAGGTGTGGTTAATGTACATACATATATTATTATTGTAATATATTATGTTTTTACGATATTACGATAATATTTCATATATGTATATAGCATATATACATGCATACGAAGTTATATAATATTACCAATGATAAGAAATATTTAAAAATTAGCTTTTATTTGGACATTAACTACAAATATTACCATGAAAATARCGTAAGTCAATAATTATGTTATCAATTTTGCATGAATTCACAAAAATTCGCAAAATGATATTCATATCAATTGATATGATTGCATGTAAACGTATAAAAATATAAGCCGTTGGCCTTTTGGCTTATATTTTTTATACGCGTCTGTAAAAGCAATGTATATTTCTGAGYATAATTTTCATTCAATGCTCAGCTCTGTTCACTCATCTCTGTTAATGTTTCTCCTTCCGAGCCAAAAGTGGTGAAATCCACTAATAGAATTTTGTTAGTTCTTGACAGTTCACACGCCTGTCCGCAATTGAACCTTCTCTATATTATACATTCTCTGTATGTAGTTTAGAAGGACAAGCGTATACTAAAGACTATTGATTATTTTCATATGACATTTGGCACAGATGTTTCTGATAGTTAGTTTATGTTGGTTATAGAAAAAAAATTCTTCAACAAATGGGTTTTTCGTGGGAAATTTAAATTTAAAAATCTCATTATTATTTGCCACAGTAATATTACATGTCTGTCATTGCGATAAAGCCTATATGTTAAGAGAATTTGAATTTACTTACCTCTTAGAACGTGCACAGTAATACTTACTGCTCTGGCATTCGAAGGAGCACAAGTGTAGTTACCTGCGTGATGAAAATTGACCACCTCTAAACTCAATATACTGGATGTAGGTGATAATAAATATGGAGATAACTGGGATTTAGATGTCCACACCATTGTTTTGTTAGTATTATATTCTTTGTCCTTGTTTTCACTCCGTTCATTGTTAAGTTTTTTATTCGTTAGAATTAAAGAGTTTTCTGAATTTTGTGTTACTCTTGTTACAGCAGTATCCACCACTGTAGTCGAAGTAACTGAGAACCCCTCTTGCGCATCATAGTTGACCATTTTGTTGTTATGATACCTACAATAAATCACATGTATAAGCCAAATTAGTGCCACGTTATGTAGAGTAAGGTCAATTATAAAGTTTATACATTGTAGTAGTTTCAATAAATATAATTTGGCTAAGTTCTATTATAAATATTTTGTCTAAAATATTCATTAGGCTGGCAGAATACAAATACTTATATTTGAGAAGAAAAAAATTTTGAAGTGAATTTTGAAAGTGGTAATCTACGAGTACATATTTTCTTTATTATATTTTATATCAATTTACTTTTTATTATTTTGTATGAACAAAATGTTCTTTAATGAAGTAGAAAGTACAATTAAAAAAAATATGATATATGGTATTAAAAATTCTTTTCAACATGTTCCACATACTATAAAAGTTTTGTCCCTGAAAAATTTTCACTAATATATTTTATTTCGTGGCCGACATGTTTATATTAAAGTCAACCTAATTGCCTCTAATAAGATATAAGGTGTRTTCAGAAAAAATGAGCATTTTAATAATTTGCTGGTTTGGAGAGTCCAGTAGTCAAATTTTCTTTTATTATGCGTACATTAGAGCAGGTTGATTTAGAAGGAGATTAAAACAAAGAAAAATTTCGTATGCGGAAAAAGTTGTATGGATTATTCTGGCCATTGTTCTTCGAGCCATATATTTTTTAGGTGAAGTTTAGTTGTTAGGCATTATAAAAACTCCTTTGTTAGTTTTTGTAAATCTGAATAAAATTTAGTAAATAGATGCAATGTGGGTCTTCAGTTATATTATTTTCCGGCTAGCTGCTTTTAAAAGGAAAAAACAATTAATTTTGCAGAACTGTACTCTAGTACATACTTAAAAATTACGATTATATAATATCGAAGAACTGTTCGCAATGTAACACAATGCTCATCGGCGAGTCTATTTTACTGTACAATTTTAAAGCAAATGCTATCTAAACTTCGAAACTAATGGATTTACGTTTATATTTCTCGAGATGCAGCAGTTGAAATTGCATATTTCTAATTGTCCATTCCTCATCTACGTTTTTTAAGATTTCAGATGAAAATAAACTTATTGATTATATTTTTTAAATCTCTTTTCATTTTTATATTTGCCAGTTTCTTCTTGTTTTATTTCCTCCTTTTCGTTTTAATGGCTTGTCCGATGTTGAACAGATTTTTCTGGAGTTTCTCCCAGGTAGGAATTGCCAAGCTTCACGACCGCATCAACCGTGGATTAGTCGTGGTTAACTAGGCTTTGGCAGTCCGGGACTGAACCAGGCTTGGTATTTTAGTCACACCGGCTAAAGTCCAGGCTTGGCTCCCTCCCTGGTATCAACCCTGATTGCCAAGTTTGTACCAAGTCTGAAAGAAGTCTGGTTCATTCAGCCTTGGATTATAGCTTCTTATTGATTCCTTTTCAATCAGGCTGCATCCTAATTTTACTTCCCAGCGAAATCAAAACGTGCAATGTCCAATAGTATAATGCTTGATTGCTAACCATATTAATTTACTTCTCAATATTTATAATATAGACATCTAGAAGGCGCTTTCATCGAGAACACAAATGTCAACGTCTACAAATTAAACTCGATTAATTAATGAGTGTTGTTCAATCATGAGTTCTACAGGGTATTCGAAATCGCGGGAACGAGTGAAAAAACATCGTTTTTTTTAAATTTGGTGATGATAATAATAGTGTGGTCAGTTGTGATGAGGATATTCGTGATGTATCAAAGGTTTCTTCTGATAGAAACTTGCTCCAAGCACAGAAAGATGAAAGGAGCCCTAACCAAGCAAAGCCATCTCATAATTTAGAAAATTTTGCAGAATCTCCAAGTGGAGTTCTACAACAAGATACATCGCTAGAGAGTTTCGCAGGGTGTTCAAGTTTTATGTCGGTTGACGACGATGATGACAACGCAATAGCACCTGTCAGTCTAGGAGCAGGTGTAGCCCCTCAACAGACCGAGCTGATGATCTCAGGTATTGAGATTGAAGCACCTCAGACCCTCACTGAGAAAATGCGCCAGGTGACACTTGATAATATAGGCAGCATCAAGATGAAAGTGGTGAGTGGATTTTGAGAAATTCTGCGCAGTGAAGGACACACTGAAATGCCATCCACTGCCCATAAACTTCTTGGCTCCAATCACCGAGTGAAAACCAAACCGATGATGGCGTATAAAGATCAGATTAGGGATTTTTTATATCTCGGAATTCGAAATGGTTTGGAGAAACGAATAGACCTGAATGTCTAGAAAGAAAAAGACATACGTGTGTTAGTTCATATAGATGGATTGAAGGTAAACCATTATTCCAAGGGAAGTCTATGGCCTATTACGATGAAGTTGGYGACAAAAAAATATACCTGCAGTCCTTTTGTGGTAGCCGTGTTTTATGGTAGGTCCAAGCCAAAAAATTTGAGTGGTTTTTTGAGTGATTTCTTGGAGGAAGCTAAAAAATTAATCCTCGAAGAAATAACCATCTAATGCCGATTTCTTATGGAGAAGACARTTTTAGAATGACAATTCATCACCTCAGTCAGCTCTGTGATGACGCAGCTCATTTTAAAACTCACTGAGTCAATACTCTGCATTTTGGGGGGAGAATTTTATAGGCCAGTTGAAGGATTTTGCAAGTAGCCGAGGGAAACCTTTGGCTCAAATCGTCAATCGCCTCAGTGCTTTAGACTCATCAGATAGTGCAAAAGTGAGACCTCGTGTTGCAATACGTGAGGTGAAACCTTAAAAATTCAATGGGATAATTTTAATAAGTTGTGAAGAATATTCATCAGTCAAATCAGTAACTTATAATGTGTCATAGTGAAAAGTCAACGGACCATATTTACTTAGATGGATTTAAACTGCACTCCTTAAATGCTGTGTTTGACGCTCCCTGTGCGTCAAGAGAAATTGGCATTTTCGCAATTGACAAATTAGCTGGTAACCATCGGTGCTGTGAAATCCAAGTGTTTAATGATGAAAATCAAAGAAAAATATTATGCTGTGTCCTTGTTGCATTCGTAACGTCGATTGTTTCAATAGTGCAATTTTGAAGGATATGATGGTTTTTGCGGGGGTTGGTAAATGTTGGTGTTATTGTATATCCCGCAACAACGGTAGCGTGACATTGCGCACTGCCTGTGGGCAGTAAATAACAGCTTGGATTAATTCGCTATTTCACGTAAGTATTTTTGCCAATTGTTTATGATTCAGAATGGAGTATTATTGTCTTCTCCGCTTTTATTAGTTGCCTCAGCATTTGTCGAAAATTTTCCACATTTCCACAATCTTTTCATATAACCTCCAAAAAATCATGCCTGACGATGTTGACGCCATTTACTGTGTTGAAACCTTGAGCGATAAAAAACTTTAGACAGTTAATTCACACATTTGTGAGAATACTTTTTGAAAATACTTCCATTGAATATTACGTCAATTAATTATTCGAAGAATTATTGCAAAATACATTTGTGAGAATACTTTTTAAAAATACTTCCATTGAATATTTCGTCAACTAATTATTCGAAAAATTATTGAAAGGAGCATTCACTAAAATGGATCATTCAAGTACACATTTTTTTATTCATCTACTTCCTCATAATGAGCACTCAAGAGGAAGATGGCAAATTGTATCAAATTGTGGAGGTCCTGGACGAAATTGCTAAGACTGGGGAAAAAAACATTGAAATCGTTCCAGCGTCGTGGGTGACCAGAACCGATGGAAACAACAATAGTACTTGTGCTTTTCCTCCGCCCGATAAATATTGTATATACTGAAACCAATCTAGCTAGAAAATTAACCAAAAATCAAGCGGCAATGATGTGAAATCAAACTTCTTCTGTCTTAGAACAAATCGTCGAAGAAAGGGGGTCCTCTACATTAAGAACATCGAGAGTTCCTGAGGCTGAAGTTTCCAGAAATAAAAATCAACCAAGAGATGATGAGGCAGCCGGGGCTAGAGCGTCTCAAAGTAAATAGCTGTGTTCATTTTTTTTTTTCAGGAAAATTGAACCTACTAATTCTCATTTTCATTAGGTAGAACAGCGTACAGTGACACAAAATCAGAGAAAGATCGGCATTGATAGTTTGCCTTACACGTCTGAGGGGCACTGCCATAGGCGATCCTCTTAAAGGTAAGCACCAACCATATTGTGGAGGAAATATTTGTATTTTCTTTGTTTTTTCTCATTTTTCAGAATTTGTCATAGATTACTGGGATGCTAAATTGGATTTCCTCATGTACAAACTACGTGACAGTTTCTCAAACTTAAAACGATGCATCCAGAACAATTTAAATAGAAAAATTGAAGAGCTCAAGGTTAACATGACCATGCATCATTTTGCTGGAGCTCAACCCATGGCGTCCCCTAGGGAAGGATTATCTACAAACTTTCCTATTAAGACTTTTGAAGAGTTCCTCGATTTTGAGAGGACTCTCGACCAAATGCATGAGGACAATTTGGTTAATCCTGAAAAGGCTTTGAGCAAGCGTGTGACACTTGTGAGTTTATTTGGAATATATTTACATTTTGAGGCGTTATTATTGACTTTACCAATTGTCTGAGAATATTTTTGTGGGTTGTTTTTTCAGGAAGAATTTATGAGTGTGTTAACGCATAAAGAACCCAATTACGCTGCAGACATTAAGAAGATCCTCAAGGAATTAATCGCCAAAGAAGTTCAACTTAATTATAGTGGCGTAGGCCGTGTTGTCAAAGGAAAAGGAAAAAAAAATTTCAGTGCAACAGCGACTTTTACGTGTATGAGAGATTTGTATGCGAAGTCCATTCATGGTGACTGACTTATTTGGTTTTCATTGATTTTTTTACTCGGTTTTCAGGTTTCATTGAGACAAAATACAAAGACTCTAATCAACCATTGAAGATTATTACGATTACAAGTCAATGGCTAGCAGGTGCTGGCGACAGAGAAGGAGGATGCATGCCGCGTAAAAAGGAAGTTGGTGCAGTTTAACTGAAAAAAGGGCTTAGAAGGATCGAACCAGAACTCACCAGTCAGT